TAAAGTACAAACACACAGATAGGGCACTTACATTACCTTTATGACAAACCGTTTAGCAAAAAAGTTATTACCTTTCTTTGTCTGTCCACCCCCATTCTTATTGCCTTCTCTCTACTCTCATTCTTACCACTAGAGATGATATCGAGTCGAGCTGAACTCGAGTATCCCAATACTCGAGCTTGATAGCCATACACAGTGCTTGAACTCGAGCTCGAGTAAGCTCATTATAATGCGCTCGAGCTCGACTCGAAGTATTGTATTCCAGGTTCGAGCTCGGCTCGTTGGAGATTGAGCCGTACTCGAGCTCGAGTACTCAAGTTCGATTACTGAAATAATTTACAAATTTTATAATGAAATTGGTTATGGTAGTAATTATTTCAAACAACCAGCCCAAAGAAGTCAATTGATTATTCTTAAACTATTAATAAAATATTTGCGTGAGTACTCGTTAGAGCTCACGGGCACATATTATTCCTAATCGAGCTTGACTCGCAGCTCCAATCGAGTAGCTCGAGCTCGGTCAATACGGAGCTCGAGTCGAGCAATTGACCAAACTACTCACAAGCTTGAGTCAAGTTGCTCGAATAAGTTGTAGCCCTATTTACCACTGTTCTTCCTCCATAGGAGAAAGATCTTGGCCTCAAATCAAGATCTCCTTTCCTTTTCCTTTTTTGTTTTTGTTTTACGTTTAATAAAGTTTCTTTTAAGGTATTCTAATGAGAGTTTTCTCTTTTTTATTATTTACTAGTGAGAGTTTTCTTTTCTCTTAACCTATCCTAGTGAAATTTTTGTTTAATTTTTCATTATTTTTTCTTAGATTTAAGAGTTTTTTTAGATCTATATGTTAGATCTGAAATTTCTTGGGCCTTCTCATTAGATCTCATCATCATTTTTGAACTTGAATCAGTTGGATAGTAGATCTGAGAGAATAAGCATGCACAGATGTTTATAGAGAGCAGCTAGTGCAATTGATCAAATCTGATGGTTGTGATTCATAGTGTAATTTTTTTATATTTTATAACTCTATTAAATCTGATAATTTTTCAGAAAATATATATCTATAATACGTTCTATGTATTTTTGTCATTAGTGCAACTATCTTTGTCAAACAAATCATGTTAGATGATTTTCAACTAGTTTATTAATAATATTGGCTTATGTATTATCAAAAAATATTACCTTTATGACTTTTACAGTATTTGTGAGTCTTTTTTTTAATAATTTTTGTATCATGTTTATCGTTTTTATGATTTTTTTATGTACGTTTATCTTTGTTTCATGAGCTTTTTAAGATTACTATGCAACATCAGGGATCCACTTAGCTGGAGTTGAATACTTCAAAGGCTTTGTCGGTTTAGGCTGAAACATTAGGAACCAATTTCGAAAAATTTAAAAACTTTAAAGATTACATGTCTTGGCCCATAAGTATAAGACAAATATGGTTCAACCTCAATAATTGAAAGCCAAAATGCTATTTTTTCGAATTCCGGAAATGTTTCTATCTTTCACGAGAGACAATAGAAGTCCAAGATGTTTTAAAGAATTCATAGCTCTCACACTTGAAATCGGAAAATAAATTTAAAATTTTTGATAAATTGATGGTACAATTATCAACTCGACTGAACTAAGTATGTCACTATGTCAGTGCAATTGAACAACCAAGAGGGTAACTAATTAAGGATATATATAACTTATTCATGAGAAATGTCTTGCATAATTCGATCCCTTTGTGTAAACAACTTAAAACAGAAGAAGATTCAAGCACACAAGGTTGGTATGGGAATGCTGTTAAGTACCAAAAAAAAAAAGAAATAACCTAGGTTTTTTTTCGACTATACAATAAAATAGTGGATGCACATTGTCACATGCACAAGAAACTAACTTAACAATTGGCCAACCAACTATGGCGCAAAAATAAAAGAATAAGAAAAAAAGAGTCAAGGAAACAAAATAAGGATGAGAGTTAACTAAATGCAATTCGTAAAATTATGATAACAAAAAAGATCAACAGGAATTGGAAAAAGGAAAAATGTTCACCTCTAAGAATTGAAAAAAGTATGTTACCCGTCCCGCCCCGTTTTTCAATGGTAGGAAAATTTGATTTCCCATCCCACCTCATTAACTCCCCGTAGGTACCCATCCCAATTGCCATCCCCATCTAAGATTCAAATCAATTTTAGAGGATTGAAATTCTTTCATTTTCCAGTACATCCAAAATCAAAAGAAAAACTGAAAAAGACAGGTGAAAAATACTAACTAGAGAATGCCTATGAGTGTTAGCAACTGAGAAAGGGGACTATGTTCCATACAATAAGCAAATGTAATTGGAGGGTGCAATTGACAATTTGGATTAGACTATATGTACAAAGATTGTTTGAAAAATCTGCGAAATAAAGACTAATGGTTTTAACACTTCAAAATTAATTTTAGATACTCCTCTCTTCCTTTTTCATTAACAGAAATGGGATAAATACCTCGAAATTAATTTTTTAATAACTTTAATCTCAAAAGTACTTGGGTAAAGGAAGAAAATAATTTAAACACAACCTTTGTGAATTGTAATACAAGCCAATGAAACTAATAAGTAGTAATTTTTAACAGCTTACTACATTTATTTCAAAAACACAAACTAATTTGTAAGGTAAGAAATATATAATTCTTTAGAATATTTTACTTTTTCAAAAAAAAAAACTATTATTAGCATTAGAATTTAATACCTTAAAAAAGTTTAAAAATCATGATGTATGTATCACTACATAAAGAATTTAAGACTATTTCGCAAATAAAAATGAATAATGATATTCATACATCCCTAATTGATATCCAAGCACCCTTACTACCTTTCGTTTATTTGAAGGACTAAAATACCCGTATATCATTTTTGCCATGCCAAAATCACGCTTAGCCGTAGAACCTCCATTCACATCTCATTACAATAAATTTGGCTGCCTCCAATCAATTATTGATTGCCATAAATAACACATACATAAATCGACTACTATTTTTATTTATTTATTTTTATATTTTACTATTAATTACTTGTCACCCTTATTCCTTTCATGATCTATCTATCTATTACTTTTAGGATAAAGGTTGAGTAATATTGAACTCTAATTAGATTGTAATGTACTTACTTTATTCAGTTTATTAATTTTCATATGACTTCTGATGTAAGGAACGTGAGTTTGTTGCATTATAGAGTTTATGATAAATTATTAACTATTAAGTCTATCAAATAGACGAATCACAATTAAAATAGAAGATTCGGATAAGAAAATTTGAAGATTTAGTGCAAGTATTTTTAAATCAAAGGGCAAGAATTGGTTAGTGGCACACAAGAATGGGAAAAGAAGGAAAGCAAATGAAAAAGGGAAGAAAAAGAAAACAAAGAATAGAGAATAAAGAAATACATAAATAAACGAGGCACTAGAGGTAGTTTTGTCCAACACATTGAAAGAAGCCCTTAAGTGTCTATAGAAAAGTTCAAGAGGGTAAAATGCAACTCGAATATGTAAAAAGCATGACATGTGAAAAAAAGGGTGTTTTAGTTCATTGATGAGAAAAAAGGGTGATTAGATTGTACGAACATCACTAAGGAGTACGTGGACATCATTGCCTATAAAAATTCAATAAAAGGTTTTACCATAATGTTATATAGGTATTTTAGTTCGTCTAAAGTAATCGAAATAGGAGTGAATAAATTAATATAGGTCTGATCTCAATTGATTTTAGAGCTGTTATAGGATTGGGTCAATCTAACTTAACCCATTTACCCGAAAAAAAAGTATACTAAACCTAAACTTTAATTGGATTGAGCAGAGATTGGGCATAAATATTAGGATCAAACTAAATGTAAGCCAAGTTTGAGTCATATTAGACTCAGGCTCAATTAAGATCCGGCTCATATATAAGAATAATTGTATGTATATAATAATATCTATAATTTATAATTATACATATTATGACATAAAATGTTAATAATTTATATATAAGTTTATATTAATCCATAATTATAAAATATGTTATATATAATTATTTATTTAATTATGAGTTTGGGTCAAATCCGATTTAACTCCAGAATTCATATAATAGTGTGAACTGTGTTTGAATCTCTTAATTTAAATACGAAATTCAAAAGTCCGAAATTTTAAAATTCATCTAATTTATAAGCGGAGCGTTAGTTATCAGAATCCGATTCAAAATCCTCAATTGACACCTAATTGATTCTCATATTTGCACAAATTGATAGTTACAAAAGCCATCTCTCTCTCTCCTAACCGAACTCGCCGAGAAAATCGCAATGGAAAAATTCCTGCCGGGACCCGAAAGAGCAGCATCGGAGATATGAAGAGGCTATGTTGCCCTCATGTGATAATAATATTCATGGTAGAAATCAACCAAACTTAAACCTAGAGAGAAAATGACCTTCAAAAGGCTTGAAATGGCGCCATATTTGATTCCTACAGGTAGCATTAGGGGAAAAAAACAAGTAAACAAAATAACCAACAAGGCTAAAACTAAATTAACTCTTTTTTAAATCCACCAACTATATTTAAATATGTTGACCAGTTGTCTTTATTACTGCCAACATCCTGTAACAACTCTCCTTTATCAGCAATCAGCTCCCCTGTATTAATTTATATGTTTCAACTTTTCTTTGTGGTAATCTAATCTAATACTACCCATTGGTTTTAATTAATAAATAATTTTGTACTAATTTATTTACACTGTTTCAACTTTTCTTTGTGGTAATCTAATCTAATACTACCATTAGTTTTAATTAATAATCAATGTTGTACTATATAGCAGAATATAGGACAGGCTCCACTACTATTTAAACAACACCAAACAAATAAAGAAAGAAGTGTGGCTCGCTCGCTCGCTCGCTCGCTTGCTTGCCCTGTAGTATTTCTGATGATTACTAGCAGCAAAACTATTGCTTTGCCCACACTACTTGTCAAGAATTCCACTCTAAGTTGAAAGGTTGAGACTTCTAAGACTCATGTTTCTTTCTGTTACTGTGTATGTATGGTAGATCCACCACCTTATTTCCTCTTCCATTTCTACCATATGCTCTCAGAATTCTGCTGCTTCAGGCCTTCAATAGGAAAAGAAAATAAAAAAGGTTGAATTATCATTTGATTCAATTCTGGGGTTTCTGAGTTTTACAAATTTCAAGGGAAAAATTGTTTCTTTTTGGTTTTTAACTGGCTTGTTTTTCATGGGAATATTTGTTTCCTCTGACAAGTTTCTTTCTCTATCAGGTATTTTTATAGTCCTTGACTGTGTCAAATTTGAATTTCGTGTTCTCCAATTCTTTGTTTGCACGTGTACTTGTGTTAGGAAGATGAAGACTTGAGGTGGGTTCATTGAGAATTATGGGTTTTTTCAATTGAATTGGGCGTCATTGAATTTCTATCCTGGGTTTGTGGTTGGTTTTCAACTTTTCCTTAGCAACTGCTTCACCTGCAAGTTGCAACGCCCACTTGAGATTCTTTATGATTTCCTTGTCTTTATGCTTTCCACGGTTAGTATTGGAATGAAATTTAGTGAAAAGCTGCAAATCAGATGAGCATTTTTGATGACCCTTTTCTAAAACCAACAATAGTTTCCACCCGTTTTGGTTAAATAAACAAGAAACTTGGTTTTACAAAGAAGATTTTGAGGGGAAAAGGGAAACTTTTACAAAGGGCTTTGCTCCTTTTTGTTTGTTTGTTTCTCTTTTTCCTTTCTTTGTGAATTGGCATTTCAGTTGCATTACAAATAGGCTCCTGAAATACAAGTTGGATGGGAAATTATAAGCATAGCAGCTATCAGTTATTTTATTTTGTCACGTCTTTCTTGTGATAATATTGCTTTCCGAGGTCTTTCGTTTCTTCCCCCCCTCCCCCCCGCCCTTTATTTTTGTTTGCATTTGCCTTTCTAATAGATTAGATTTTTTTTTTCTAAAAATTTTGTACAGAAGGTACTAGAGAATTTGACCGCTGTGTTGATTCTCTGATCATTAGAAGACAGGTGAGCTAGTCGATCCAGTTTTCAAAGATTATTTACTCGGGTGCGTGAAGTCTGGACTGGACAGATTGGTCCTGGCATCAATTACTGGTATATTGCTCGTGAGCAGCCAACTGTTTGCTGGTTGTTCATTTAATGAATTGTCAACTGTTTGACTTTTAATTGGTACAAAATTTTCAGATCTTCCTTGTGATTGTCAATGCAATCTTTAGGCTGCATTAGCAGAGTAAAGCATAGCATCATACCTAACTCGGTCTTAGATTCGTGCACTTTCATAATTTTTTTCTTGTGATCTTCAAGTTTAGTAGTGTTTTCCCTGTTTTCTTTATGCTTAGAATGACAATTCTGAATGCTTATTGCTTGCAGTAGTGGATACAAAAAGTTATGGGATGCCTGGTATCAACACCGAAGGATACTGGTGGAAACCGGAGGCGGCCTGGAAATATTGGAGAAGTTTCTGTGTTTATTCCTGGATTGCGGATACCAAAGGCTGTGGATTTCTCTCAAGCACTTGGTGACTACTTGTCCAAAAGCTTAGTGGAGCGCCTTTCTGCCCTTAGAACTAGAATAGTTGTCATGGCTGGCCAAGAAGCTCCTACAATTACAAGAACAAGAAGGAGAACTGCCACTCAGCATGGTTAGTTACATTTATGTCTCATTTTTATTTCTGTTGGCCAGCTGGTACTGATGCACCATTGGCTGTCTCTACAGGAGGTTCTACACTGGCTGATCTTCTGCAGGCTCTTGAAGATTATTTGCCAGTGCTTTTGGGATTAGTCAAAGATGGTATTACACATTGGATACATGACTAAATAGAGACGCACATTCTGGACATGTTCCTGAGTGTTTGTTATATTGTTTCGTGCAGGAAGTCCATTACAGCACAAAGTGCAGTTTGTTTGGATCAATCAGGAGGATGACGATGAGGTGAGATCTAATATTTATGCTTGCATATCCGGGTGTATGAGATGATTAGTGCATTCTACTCTCCACTGTGCTTACTCAAACTGCAAATTGTTGATATTCCAGGAAACAGCAATGCATAGCACTTGGTATGAAGTATTGTCAGTTTTGCACTTGATGGCAATGCTGTCACTATCTCAAGCCAATTTGCTGCTTCTGCCGAGGATTTCAGCTGATGGTTATCAGCCAAAGGTATCAGAAGGTATGCATTTATGCTTCGGTCAGAATTGCATGAAATTGCAAGTCAATCAACAGAGTACGTTGGCACCTAATCAACACAATGAATTCTGAAGCTTTTGAAGTGTTGTAGATTTCCTTATCTATATCAAGTTTCAAGGAAGTCATGCTTTTGCAGTCACTTTTCTTGATCTCATTTCATTAGCCAAACTGATTGCTTCATCATTTTTGGGATCTATACGCTACACCTTCTGCTTCTTGTCAACTGTAGATATCATTGTTCACTGATCAACACTTGATGTTGGATGATTCCTTAGAGATACTTTGGTTCTTTGTGTTCAAATATCCTACTAAAGTGAAAGAATATTAATATGGTTTTAATAAAATAACTCAACTTAGATGCAATTTTGTTGTTAAATCACGAAATGATGGATACATTTGTTGGAGGCCATGGCACATTACCATGTGCTGTGTTATTGCATTGGAAAACATGTGTAATGGACAGGAGAATCAGTTAATTGTACAGATTAGAAGTTATTCTGAAGTTCAGAATACATTTAAATCATAAACCATTTATTTAAGGTCTCAATCGAACCATGCTTGTATTCCATTTCTTGAGTTCTTTCTTAACTTTGCTTTGTCTTGAGCTTTGAACAACAGCTTGACTCTAGTCGTTGTACTGTCCATGTTTAGGCCCTTTTAACATGTCCAAAATGAGTCTTAAGCAACATAGACTAAGCTGTATCTTCTATTCTAGGTTTCCCATTACTTAAAACTTCTGAACACAACTTTTGTCAGATTTTTGAAAAATTTGAAAAATTTAGAGAAAAAAGTTTTGACTTTTTGTTAACTTTGTTTTGCCATCAACAGTTGTATTGTAGCCGGTCGTACAGATACTTTTTTTTAAGTGAAAGTTAATTTACATGGTTGTTAACCATACTTGAGTTGTTAGTAAAATAGGCAAAAGTGAGATGTGGTGCAACCATAACCCCAAATACCAAATATAGCCAAATAGGTAGCTTTGAGTGAAGTATAAGTAAATGGAAAAGAAGGAATACCTATTTCATATGATCTGATTTTAGTATAAATTGATGCTGAAAACTTGCCAATGCTAGAAAAGAAGCTGCAGTAATGACTGTAACATGCAAAAGTATCTAGTGCATGTGAAATGTATACTCACTTCTTCTCCCACAGCAGAAGCTGTAAGCACTAGGCATGACTATAAATTAGATCTAACACGATTCCAGATAGAAGAACTCCAGTCATTTCAATTTGTTTGAAGTTCTTGTAGCAATGGTGGCATGATATTCTGTGAAGATCTTCTGAAGCTCTTAATTATGTATACATTCACTACATAGTATGAGATTTCTTTTCAACAATAGCAGCCACCAACTCAAATCATCATACACATGACACTGTACAAAAGTCTGTTTCTAGGAGCATTTAATCTACAAATGCTAGAAAAATTCTTATGCCTCTTTTGAGTTACAGCTCTGACTACAAAAAAGCAACAATGAATTCTTCCGGAAGATCAAAATGAAATTTGATCAATTTATTCATACATGAAAAGGAGATTTGGTCATTCAATTATTAGCTTGAATTAGCAGTTAGAGAGTAGGTAAACCTTCAGTTTAATATCTTTTCTTGTAATACGGCAAAAGCTTTGAATTCTTGGATTGACTATGTTGACCTTTGGGGAAAGAGTTACCCCTACTTTTTGAGGTGATTGAAGCTTTTAGACTAATCTTGGTAATGGGCAAAGTATACATTTTGGATAGAATGTTACTTACTTTTACCTTCTAAAATAATGGTTTTGTTCATCATTTTACATTCACAAGAAACAGAAAGTGAAAAAATAAAAAAAAGAACATTTAAGAAATGCGGAAAGTCTGAAACATAGTAAAAACCCAAAACAGGATTCAAAACACTTAAAGGAGTTACAGGAAGGAAGCTAGAGAGGGGCCAAGTTGTTAGAAGAAAACAAGTACAGAGGCAGGGACGATAAGTTACAGAAAATGCACTTTCCAGTCCTGGCACTCATCTCTTGTGCCACTGCCATGCCTCCTTCTCCACTAAATTTGCCCCTCTTGTAAACATACTATACGCATTCACCCATCTCATCTAGCCATCGCATAACTGTCATAGCTTGTGGCTTGTCTCTTTTGTACTTTTCATGTTTCAATTTTATGTTTAAGGGTTATTTTAGACTTTTGACATCTTTTCTACACTCTGGGAATTTCTTGCCCTTTCTCTCTTTCATTTTTGTCTCCCTTCATCCTGAATTGTTTCTTTCATCATTTAGAGTTTTTCCTTGGCCATGAGTTTAGTTCTCTCTCTCTTGTTCGTGTGTTTTTTTCCCTTGGTTTTGCTGCATTGGCTTTTTTCCTTAACAAGTGAATATGAGGGGAATCTCTTTTTGCAATGTAATCCTGTCAGTCTGACCAATTATGGATGGTTATCACCAATGTATGAATCTGCTTAATAGTGAAATTTATCAAAGCCGCTACATTGTCCACTATAGCGAGCAAAGTGACGTTAAATGTTCAAACTGAATTATATCCACTGCAATCTTCAATAGCATGTTCTATCTGGTTGTCATGTAGGAAATGTAAATCAATGTTCTTGATGATGGATAAAGAATGTGAAGTGTGGGATTTGATTTCAAGGCACTGCATGATCACTATTTGATCTTTTCACACCTTGCTTTTGCAGCTTGAGATTTAAAATTTCTGTCACAATATAATCTTCTATTTGTCTTCTTCTTGTTGGTTGTATGGGCAAGCTGTTCCGTGTCCAAATTTTACTTTGACATTTTCCTTGTTGTTCATGGGTGTTTGTCACTCGATGATGAGAAGGATCAATGCCTTTTCTAAGCATCAACAACGATGCCATGGCACCATGGAATAAATAAATTGCACTATATTGGTTCTGGTATGGCAAATGCTTTGATCACATATGATCATGTCAGAAGATGCTTCACCATATAATTGATTGTATGCAATATTTTTGAATGCTTTCCTGAAGTTTGACGCATCTGTCACTACTCTTGGGAGTCAAAATACTTGCATACTTGTTCCATGGATCTATTTTCTGTCAAATGCTTCTAATGGATATTTCCAGTTGTGCACCAACCTGTTTCTTATGTGTAACAGAGAGCAGACGATGTTGTATTGATGTCTTCCTAAAAGCAGCCGGATATCTTGATTGTGCTGTTCGACAAGTTCTCCCACAGTTTCCCAGTGAATTGAGGTTTAGAATCTTTAACTTTTCCAGTTAAGTTCCATTTTTTAATTCAAACCAACATGAGAGATTGAAGAGTTTAATCTTTTCAACGTATGTGTTGTAGGAGAAAATTACCAGTAGACCTTGCAGAAGGAGTTTTACGAGCACTTTGCCTTCAAGCATTAGGACAGGTATTTCTAACTCAGTGTACATCTTACTTATATTAGCAAAAGAGCCTTGCCATAGAGATTCGTATTATTATAAAAGCTTAATCCAATAATGCATCTTTACAATGCTCTTGTCACTTAGATAATCCAAGGCCTTGTGTTATTTACTTTTCTTCTCTAAGGGATGTTTAAAACCACAGCTGTATGAGGTGTCTAATGTATCATGATAGTGATCCTGTGATGATGCAATCACGAGACATTACAATATTGGGCACATGTAAGATTTTTGAGGTTATGCTCATACCAACCCTATGTTAGATAAGTTATCCTGGACGGCCTAGACAAGTCCTACATCAAATTACACATAATTGATAGTCGTATAAGAATGCAAAGAACTGGTAGAATCAAGCAAGTTGGGCATGTAATAGCAGTAATGGATAAGGAGTTGAAATGCAAATCAGCACCACTACGAAAGGGATATCTTATTATGCATATGGCCTAGCCAAATATTCTAAGCTTCATACCACAAAGTTTGGCATATGGAATCCCCAAATTTCCAAGGAAAAGTACTAATGCTGTCATCAAGGAAAAGTACTAATGCTGTCATCAATTTGCATCTAAATCTCAATAACCGACATCCCAAATACAATTGACCAGACAGCAGTGGCGGAGCCACATTGTTGGCAGTGGTGCACATTCCCCCACTGAGCGATTCCTCCCCTCTATATTTCTATGCACAAATTTTGGAAATTTAGAAGTATTTTGGTAATTTAAGAACTTGTGCACCCACTAACATATGTTATATAAGTTAAATCTAAAATGAATTTATAGTAATTACTACTAACTTTTAATTGGACTACTTAATCTTATGAGGTTTAGATGTATATTGTTCTATATGTTGTTATTTTAATTGTATGTAATTAAAGGGTAAAAAAAATTATTTTAAAATGAAGGAGAAGGGAACCACAGTCATATTTTATAACTATTTTCATTTTATCTAAGTGTTAAGATAGTTCAAATTAGGACCAAGTATAAACGTCACATATGTTGTTTTTCTTTTCTCTAATATTATGTGACAACATTACTAATATTGCATAATAACCATGAAACTTTTCGTATTATGTGATGACATTTCTCAACAATGTATATAAAGATAAAGGTACTCTTGTAAATGGTACAATCAAATTGCTTCATCACCTAAATGTGTGTAAAAGCATATCAATATAGTCATGTCACTTTTTATCGATTTCTAAATGTAGGTGAAGCTAAAATTCTGGAGGTATATGGCCAAATATGAAAATAGAAAAAAAAATCTAACAGTACTATTGTTCATGTGAGGTATGAAAAAGTGACGACTTATTCTTAGATATAGTTTTGCTTCATTGGCTTCTTTAAATGGTACAACCAGTATAATGAGGAATTTACTGGAGAAACAAAACTATATCTTCATTGGGTTCTTTTAATAAAAACAAGTGCAGTGTCAATTGTTCCTGGAGATTTTTGTCTAAGTGCTTCTGGAATTAAGTATAATTTTGGTTTTATTGTCAATCAGCTGATAATGTAAACAAGAAATTTTATTTCCCTAATCCCTGTGGCAAATGTTTCTCGATTGGATCATATAATATTTGTCTGATTTCTCTTTAGGGGGTTGATATCCAACTTGGACTTGCAATTGATAGCACTAAGGCCACCCTAGCAGTAAAGCGAAGGCTTGCATGTGAGATGGTGAAATATTGGCAGCAGGTAGGCCTTCTTATACTTTAGCACATGGGAGCATGGCCTTATATATGGGTCATCTTTCTAATTTGGTGCATCCATGATTAATGTTCCATGCTAATCATAGAATTTGTTTACTATTTCTTTGTTATCAAAAAAATACCTTGCTTATTCTCTGACGTTTTTCAGATGTATAAGAGGTCCATAAGTATACAATTATAGAATCTTCTACTTCCAAGAACCAACCAGCATATTTCACCAGCCAAAAAAAGAAGTCGGTCAAGGTCCTATGATCAATTATTTGAACAGACAGCAATCAAGTCATTTAGTTGATACTTATCATGTAAAAACAACCCCATGAAGATAGAGCACAGATATTAAGCATGTCCATCTTGTTATGGATGTAAGCAATGGTAGTACCAGTAAGTTTCTATGACATGACCAGTTGAAGTTAAATTTTGGTATACCCGTTCATGAATGGAGTGACTATCAATTGTAATGTGTTTAGTCCTCTGCTAAAAATTTGAACTAAGATGCAATGTGGATAGCTGCTTGATTGTCAGTCAGCTTCATAAGCAGTAAGTGTGAAAGCCAAGGCATCCAGCAAAGATACAGTTCTCCATAGATCTTCTATCAATTTTGGAACCTACACAAATTACATCTCAGAAACAATCAATAGGAAGTATGACAATGATTACTGTATGGTACAAAACTACAGTGAAATTCAAAGGGTGTCGGAATAGGAAAAGGCTATTGGTTTTGGCACTATGATGTTTCAAATTAACAGACTAAAGGAAGTTCCAGATTTATGACCCTGTCCCTCTATCAAAAATCTTCCTTGTCTAGTGGATTTGTGGATAAAATAAGGTACAACAATTCAGACCGAGAGAAAATAGAAAGTATATTGAATGAAAATTATGATGTTTTTGGCAAATGCAAGACAGATGACAATAGAGAAAATTTTGTAGGTACAACCGTTCCAAAATCTACAACTGATGTTCTTTGAGTCATGGGCCATAGTAACATTTGGAAGATATTTGTGAGAACTAGAGGAGGAAGCAAGACCTCTATGACCTGTAATATTGTCTGTAGCACCTAAACCAATGACCCATTTGCAAGAGGATGACATAAGATAGTAGGTTTACCTCACATTGTCATAGAAGACGGAGAAGCTGATTTTAATTAGGCTCAGCACTTGTGTAAAATGAGCAAACTTATCAGCGGAAATGAGTATTGTATCTGTAGCTAAGGACATTGTAAATACATGGCTACTCTCTTGAGTTGGAATAATAGCAACCTGGGAATGCTATTGAGGTTTCTCTGAAGTAACCATATGCATACTTTTTTGTCAGACTAGGAGTTTGACAATGATAGAGATTCTTGATCATCTTGTCCTCAACCACCAGTCCTACTGCCTTGAAATAGCTCTGATACAATAGTACTGAGAGAAATTATCCTGTATATTTTCACACTTTTAAGATGTACAAGAGGTCTATATGTGCACAAATGCAGAGTTGGTCTACTTTCTACAACAAACCTGACAGAATCTTATAGTCGTTATAATTAGTCAGCTCAAATCAAGCCTATCAAATTCCTATAAGCAATTTAGGTGGTCAGCGAACAATAAGAACTCTTCCTCCTAGTTAATCTTGGAAAGATGTCATCTGATGGAGTCATTATCATCCCAACAATTTCGTTTTCTTGTTTATCTCACACTTAAAATGGAGAGTATCAGGACAAGGCGTTTCACTCCCATCTTTTAAGCTAAAGCTTTAGTTGCTGGATTCTAGGTAGTGATAACTGGTTAGATTCCATTCCTGAAAGTGCTGTAAGGCATAGGGTTGAGCATACTCAAAAAATACTGATTAACCGACTGAATTCAATTTGAATTTGAAAATTTGAAATTGGTAAAATGGACAGTAAATCAGGGAATTCTGAATTCATAGCTTCGAAGTAGGTAGGAAATTTTTTATGCACTTTTGAATTTGGAATTTCTTATCTTGAATTCACTTTGGGTTTCTGCACTTGATTTCGTGATTATCTATGTCTTTTGATGTATATATACAGATAAATTGAAGAAACAAGACCTAATGAAACAGCCCCCATTTCCTACCACTACTCATTCCCTTCTTCTCAAATCTCTATTTCTTTTGTTTATTCTCACTGCAACCACTCAAGTCTGGTACCACCAGTCCACTACCTGCCACCAGCACCGGCCTGCTTTCAGTCCTCTCCATTTCCTCCCATTTCTATTTTTGCCCTTTTATTCTTTAGTTGTGGCCCTCATCTTTGAAGTCTAAGCCATCATCCATCGAACTTCTTCCTCTAGTCACCAGTTGCTTAGTTGAATTTGTGACTTGGGTTAATTCATCACATGATTCACAGGGTTGATCAACTGATCAACAAATTATTATTATTATTATCATCATCATCATCATCATCATCATCATCATTATTATCGTTATCATTATCCTTAACTTTATTATTATCATCATTACTATTATCATGATTATTATCATTATCATTACTATTATCATGATAATGATGGTTATTATCGTTATCATTATCCTTAACTTTATTATTATCATCATTACTATTATCATGATTATTATTGTTATCATTACTATTATCATGATTATTATTGTTGTCATTATCCTTATCGTTATCATTATCGTTGTTATCATTACTATTATCATGATTATTATCGTTATCATTATCCTTATTGTTATCATTATCGTTATCATTAATATTATCATTATCATCATTATCATTATTATTATCATTATCATCATTATCATTATCATTATCATCATGACCATGATCATGATCATCATGATTATTATCATGATTATCATCACGATTATCATCATGATTATCATCACGATTATCATCATCATCATCATCATCATTATTATTATTATTACTACCTATTTCTGAAAAACGGAACATTTACTGAATTTCTGAATTGGATTCAATACAAATTAAATCAGAATAGAAGAAATTCGAAATCGAAAAAGGTTGAAATCTGTGGGAGTGAATTTTCCGAAATTGCCAAATTCATTCTACCGATTTACCAAATTCGAATTCGATGCTCACCCTTATTAAAGCATTTATACTAAAGCAATAAACTACATTATATCAGAAAAGAAGTAAGGAAACTATCTCATAGCTTGTCGAGGAGGCAGCAAATTGACAAAGAACTGGCTGTTACTTGTGATGCAGAAATAATTAAGCTGCCCCTATATGGATTTGATCAGCAATAAGGCTTCCTTCGGAGTGTTTTTTTCATAAAAATATTTGTTGCATTTGAAGTACTTTCATTTGCTGCTGAAAAGCCAATTGATACTCGTCACTTAAAAAGTTTTTAATCAATATGCGGTATACTCATAAAGTTATGTCAACTATGTCATTGCTCATACTTTTTCATTTTAGGCATTTTCTTTAATTGATAGAAGCAATTTAAGGGAGGAAGTCTGCATTTACTACTGACTGAGCAAATCTACGAATTAGTCCAGTTTTCTACTTGATGGATATTTTGTCAAGCCTTGTCACCTTCTTTTTCTTCTTTTTACCAGAATTGAAGTAAAGAGTAGCTCCAGTTGGCAAAAGAAGGCTTAGCATACACTGGACTTAAAGGGATTCCAATGTTATGAGCAATAGTCACATAGTCACCTTCTTTTTCTTCTTTTTCTTCTGAATATCAAAGGGATTCCAATGTTATGAGCAATAGTCACATATAAACATGAATAACAGAACAGCAAATGAGTGATAAGTGTTAGCATGCGCCTTGCAAATATACTGCCCTCATATCTCTAGTCTTGTTTTCCAGACTCATCTTTTTGACCTGTTATGCATTGGTAAAATTTAATATTGTCATGTCTTGAAACTTTTATGTGAATACACGGATTTCCTCTTTCACCAACAGACAAGGTGCCTGTTTTATTCGTTATACGTTTTGGTGCTTATAACTTATCTGGACGGGTCGTGTAACTCATCTTTGTATGAGATATGGTTTATGAAGCATGGGGTTGTTTCTGGATAAAACCAGTCTCAAAAGGATGGTTAAGTTGTTATTTAGTTCAATGAGGTTGAATGTACCTTTTTGGTGAATTATAGTCGACAGAGTTTTAGGTTTTAAGCCTGGTTGAACTTTCTGATGAATTTATGTCTTCAACTATGTTCTTCATTCTCTGGATACATTTATTTTACCGATATTGCAGAATTTGCTTTTTGAATAGGAATCTTAGCTTGAATTAACTTCTTGTGGCTATTTTTTGATCTTGTTACATGGTGATTGAATTTAGCAGCCCTTTTCTTGCTTGTTTAATATCAATATGGTTATTGTAATTATCTACTTTGAGCTTCAATTTCACTTTTTCTCTTACTCTGAATTTCTTTTCAGCTTTAAATCTCTATTTTAGTTCTTTTCTTTTCAATTCTGTATTCTTTTGAAAGCTTTGAAGTCATGCAACTCTATCATGGTGAATTCTGATTACTGGGCAACATGAACATTTATCTCATCTTTGTTATTTGTAGGCTCAAGATAATTTAATGAATCTTCCATTATCAAATGGCTGGGGAGAAAAGCATAGACTTTTCACTAAATGGAAGTATATTGAGGCGAAGGTAACTTGTGATTGCCTTTGCTTACTATTTGCGTTTAGTTCCTTTTTCTTTCTAGAGCTTGATAATTTCATTCACCTGATATCTAAATTGGTTGGCAATCTTGGCAAAGATGTTTATGCCAGAGTGCTTTTGTTTCTGCAATTTGACAGTAGATCACTGCCCAGACACTATCATTATGTGGCTGGTAACTGGTTAATATAAAATATAACATAAAAAAAATAAAGTGTTTTGTTGTTTTAAGTTCACCACTAGAGTATGAAAATGGAGATGATAATTTCATTGCCTACTAAAGTTGATTAAGGGCAAAAAGAAACATTTTCCAGAGAGAGAGAGAGAGAGAGAGGGAGGGGGAGGGGGAGGGGGAGGGGGGAGAGGGAGAGGGAGAGGGGACATTAGGTCAGCAGAGTTGTTATGCTTATCATCGTGGATGTTAAAGCTTAAGTTCGTGCAACGTTGCATTCTTATCCAGGCTGCAGCTTACTATTACCATGGTCTGATTCTTGATGAGGGTAACACAGAAAAATCTCATGGAATGGCAGTGGCTGCTCTGCAAGCAGCGGACGAGTATCTGAAAGAAAGTAAAAAGGCATGTGAAGCTTTTAACCTTGCAATACCTCTATCTAGGTAATCCTCTGGCATCCTTTTTCAATGGATCCAAATATATAGCAGAATTCTTTAAAGTACGTGTATTTATGTCTGTGCATTAGGGTAAGTTATGGTTCTCTTGCCATCCTCATGGTATTAATTTTGGTAGTTCTCCTCTTGCCCTTCTAATTGGAACTGAATGGTTGTACGCAAGTTGAAATTAAAAGGAGAAGAATGTTATTAAGTTAATGAGTCTCCTCTATAAACTCTACAAATTCAACACAGTCATGATAGTTCATTGTGAAGATAGCAGCAAAATGTTTGTTTTGAATTTGACCTGTTGCCATTTCTAATGCAGAAATCCACCTCTTTGGGGAACCATGAAATTCCTCTCTGAGAAAATTCCAAAGGATACTTCTAGCAAGGTGCGAATCAACAGGGATCTGTATTCCCATGAGAAGTAAGTGTTCTTTTTTGCTCACTTTGGTATTTGGTTGGGAGAAGCTGCATTACACATCCCAGCATACAGTGGGGGATGCTGTCTAGGATACCGATCGCAGAACTAACTAATCTTTGGAAAATCATTTCCTTACTAATAGCACTTCAGGCGAGACAAGTAGGAGAGTACATTGTGATTGACACTATGGAACCCACTCTTACATGTAGACTTAATTTGCCATTCTTCTTCGTTTCTTTGCTAAGTAAAGGTAATATGTAGAGGGAGCAAGTTTACATCAGAACATGGATCTATGCTATATTTGAAATATTTAAGTTTAGATTTATTTCTGTTGTATGACTCACAAGGGAGTCCATTTACTATGACCTCCTCGTTTGTCTGTTTCCCTCTCAATCCATGATGTCAATAGCATTTTAGTAAATTTTATCTATTACAGTAATAGTTAACCTTGATCTTTTCTAGCATACTTTGGAAACCATTTCCCATCTGTGTATAACGTTCTGATGCAGCTCATAAAATTCTATTTGGATTCTCATTATGTTTGAATAGCTCATATTTCAGCTTCTTAATTCTGGTACACAAAAATGTGTCGCAGATATATTTCTATGAATAGAGGGTATACTCATGCATTATGCAGAAACATATCAAAGACTACGCATTATGTATAACTCAATTCTAGGTACATTCCACGTTACTTGCATACTAGGTAATACTTACATTAGAAAAATTCATTGTAGAATCATGGAGACAGCGCCAACGCTACCTGATTTTGCTTTGGCCCTCAAACCTGAAGAGTATGGGCTACCAATTGTGGATCCTTCATGGAACGAAGAGAATACAAATAACGGGTAATTCCGCCCCAAAAAGCTTAGAAGGTGATTTAAAACACAACGAATTCAAGAGATAGCAGATTCCCAGGCAGACTGGTTAAAGAACACTACCTGGCCATGATTGACCCGTTGAAGAATTATCTACTTGCTGTTTTTCTGGCATGCTCGTCTTTCTTTTCCTACTTTCTTGGGCTTCTTTTCTCTCCTTTTGCCTTGGTGAATCTTCCAATCCCTTTCCCGCATGATTCATCGTTGACCTGATCACGGAGACTTGTACAAAGTAAATTTTGTGTGTAGTCTCCTAATTTCTGGAGAAGGGAATTTTTTCTTTGCCAACTTACCAAATAATTGGTATGCTTCTGTTCAAAAGAAGTGAAGGTAGAATCTGAAATTGTTAATAGAAAACCTCTGTGTAGAAGTCCTTGTTATGTGTAAAATCGTCTTTCTTTATAAAAGCAACAAATGGTTGCATACAAGATCAATGTTGCATTTGATTGCTGCCCCTTAAGCTCCATATTGCATTTTTCAAAGTGAATTTCAGAGGATTCAAGATGTATTGGTGCCATGAACGACATCTAATGTTGAGGAGAACAGGGTGAGAATCTACTTCCTTGATTTAGTAGGTGTTTGGGGAATTTTTTTTTTTAGCCATTCTAGTGTGGGTGTTGATGTTAAGGATAGGGAATTTGTAATGGATATTCCTGAACCCTTGAATCCAAGATTTTTCAGGGTCTTGTCTCGCTTTCACTTACAGATTGAAGAAGTGAACCAATTTTGAGGTCAGCTTGTTTAAAAACGCCATAATGCTGGTCACATTTTAAAGAGAAACAAGCACATAAGAAGTGACACCCCACATATTCTAGTTTAAATTTTTAAGTGTATAGTTAAAATTCGGAATGTAATTTTAATGTTGAAGCAAAAAAAAAAAAAACTTTATTCTGAGATTATTCAAGGAGTTGGAACGAAATATAAAAGAGCTGTTCTTCTAGAAATATAAACTACGAATATAACATGACAACTTACTGACTGGAGCAAATAATGAACAAAGAACAAAAACATTAGGCCTAATAACTTGTGAGAGGGTATATTCACGTGTAGCATATGGATGGTAATGGTTCTTTTGTAACCAAAACCACCAGGTTAGATTAATTAAAAGAAACGAATGATAAGAATGAATTAAGTATTTGGAGTAAAAATTGATGATTTTGAATTAATTCTGAAGGTTAATATTAGAGAAGGAAAACTTGTCATTTGGGAGTTTAGAATTTAATTAAGTAATGAGAAGGAACGAGTTCTAGAATATTTGATTAATGATTAATTGGATTAATATCAAACCTATTAACAAAGATGGCAAAGTTGGAATGTTTTTGTAACCTACATGATTATTCGTTAAGTGTAAATGATGGGGTTCCAAATTTCGTCATTAATGGAAGATGAGACTACATTATAAAGCGAGACATGAAAGAGAGGCAAGGCTAGGAGTGTGTAAGTTTATTAAATAAAAATGATATTATTGGTACTTGGGGTGCAAAGTTTGCGAGAAGTTTTATTCATGCATATATACTTCTGTCTTAAAACAAATTTCTTTGATCTAGTTCATATGCTAGCTTATGAGATTTATCTTATTGGTTTTGGTAATTATTTTAGATGTAAGTTTAAGTATTCATGATAACCGATCTAGTACTGAAATTAGATTAAAGAACCATAGGTCTTAAAGCTATATTTCTTTTCTTAAATAGCCATAGGTTATAAGTTAGTTGTTCAACCTTACATGCAACTTGGTTACATGCAAATATGCCAATAAAAGATTTAGGTTGTTGCTGGAATTTTGCAGTCGTGTTTTATGTGTGATCATGAGTTTTTAGTTTTATGAGTTCTCAAGCTAATGGATTTGATGAAACTAGATGAATCCTGAATGGAATTGTTTTTTGGAAATATTTACAACTTAATATTGTTTCACTTCTAAACCATTGTTTAATTATTCAACGAAGGGTAATTATTGCAATTTATAAATTGCTTTAAAGTCAACATAACATGAAAAACTTTGTAGAGTAGACTTTCATTTTCAAGAAACTTATTTTATATTATTCCCAATTATTCTGCACAAACTACTGTTCTTTGTTTTTTAGCAACTTTTTGCAATTACAAATTAGCATGAATAGAACTAATTAAGAATTATTTTAAAAGCTCAGCAATTCATGTCAAGCAAAATATTATCGTCAATTTGCTAAGCAACACTCTGATTCACTATTATAGGTGCTTTATAATACTTGTTTTAGGCTTTTATTTTTAAATTTTAATGTGATAAAAATTGATTGATCTTTTTCTATAGCGTACAAAAGCATAATGGCAAAATTTATTTTTTCCAACTCAAAACCATCCGTTGTTTTTGAAAAATTATCATTTCAAATCTATACCAAATTCTAGTGCTTTGTCACTTGAAGAAGACTTTTTCTAGTTTTCCATGTGATTGAGTATTTATTGTACTAGTTAATTGAAAATTATAGGAAGTTTTAAAACTCTTCAGCCTTAAAGTGAATTATAAACTAGTGGATACTTTTTAAAAATGGATGTTTTATGGTTGAAAAAAAAATCTTAAATTCATCACATGCACAATGATCAATTCCGGGATAAGTAAAGTAACATTGTAAACCATTATTCTAATAAGAAATTAAAGTAATTTCTAGTACCACGTTAAATGTTGTGTTGATATGTATATGCCTCTTTAAGTTTTCAGTGTGGACTATTAGAGGTGATACTCAAAAGTCTCAAATGGATTCAGTGAGATGTGCTGCTGATGTTTGTCGAACTCATGCTATTTCTCGGTGGCAAGATTTGGTTGTTTTGGAAGAATTTTATTGATTGTTCACTTTCATCCTTAGCTGATGAGCTATTGCATGTTCATATCTCTTTATCTTCTAGTCAGCCATTATACTCTTCTGTTGTGTATGCTATGTGCTCTTGGACTGGTCCTAGAGATTTATGAGCTGCAATGGAGTTATTGGCAGAATCCATGTTGGATCCTTGGCTGGTTATTAGGATTTTAACTTGTTTCTCCCTCAAAGGAACGTGTAGGTGGAGCTGCTTCTTGTGTTCATGAAATGGAAGACTTCAATTTGTCTTTACAAACATATGTGGTTTATCAGATGCTGCTTTTGATGGTTCAGAGTTCACTTGGACCAATGGACAGGTTTGTCAGCGCTTAGAGAGAGATGTAACTAATGCTGCTCGGTCAAATGCTTCTAATCTTGCTCACCTGTTGTACTTATCAGATGGGCAGATCCGAACGTCGTCCTCTTCTCATCAATTGCACCAACGGGGGAACAGCAGTGAAAAAGGTTCCTTTTATGGTTCCTGAATGTTTAGATAGAGCTGTAACTAATGCTGCTTGGTTGGCAACATACTTTCGATTAGGTTAAAATGGTGGAGTTGCGACGGTGGTCGTGGTGATGGTGGTTGAACGAGGTTAGGGTTTATTATCAGAAGGAAGAAGAAAGGGAAAGGAAAGGAAAAGAAAAAGAAAAAAAAATTTAATACCTTTCCTTTTGATTACAAATACCAAACAACCACTAAGGTTTTGTCAAAACTCACTGCCATATTTGATAGTTATTGCCATTGCCGTTCCGTAATGTATACCAAATGGGAGGTTGGTGCATAATTAACCTGCAAAATGAATCTTCAGAGTCAGATCAGTTGGTTTCTTCTAGTTTTACATGATAGAATTCTTGTTGAGAGGGACTCCATCTAGGATAATAGAATTCTGTTAGAGTGGGAGTAGAAGTGGATTAGCTATCAAAGCAATCCAAGTACGTTTCTCTTAACTCCCATTATGCTGCAACCGAAGTATGGTTTCCAATAGAATTTAGGGCAAAGTAACTTTACTCTCCTATGATTTAGCGCTTTTTCACATAACCCCTATATGGTTTCAAAAGTTATACATAACACTTTCGTGGTTTGGATTAAGGTGTAAAATTGACGGAATTTACATTCCATAACAGTGTCAATTAAAATTTATTAACTATCGGGGAATTATGTATATATTTTGAAAACTATAAAAGGATTATATGGTAAAGTACTAAATTATAAGGTGGTTATATGATAAATATAAAATCATATGGGATTAGAATATCATGCATATTATATTTAAATGTTTTGGTCTTTAGTTTTTAAATAAGGGTAATTTCGACATTTTTATGAATTTCATTACAAATAATCGTTTCCGTCATTTTGACACTTTAATTCAAACTATGAGAATTATATAACTTTGAGACTATAGGGGAGTTATGTGAAGGATTACTAAACCATAGGAAAGTAAAAGTGTATTTTGCCCTAAAATTTATTTAAAGTTAGATGCAAGTGCCTGTAGAAAACTGGATCAAAGGATAACATCTTTTGTGCTAAATGCAGTTTCGTTTCTTTTTATCATTTTTTTGGTTAGGAATTAGCCTTTCGAGCTCCTTTTTCTGTAAGAAGAATGGAGTACTAGGATTGGAATATGGAAGAAGAAGCAGATATACCTTCGTCCGTCGGCCTAGAAAAGAAATTATCCCAAAAATTGAAGTGAATTGCGATCCCATTACCATCACATGACAATTAAGTGGCTACAACTTCATCAGGCACCAAAAAAAAGGAATCTAATGACAACCTTGTCATACGTCAGTTACAGAAAATTATGCACCAAATTTAACCAGTTTTGTAGAAACAGGAACTTAATCCATGTACTCACCCATATTTCATTTTGAAGCTAATATTCAGTACTATTAACCAAATAATTACAAGTATGAAACAATCATATAAACATAAAAAAGACCCAAAATTGTTGTCCATCTTTAACTAGTAGTGCGTTTGGGAGGAGAGATTTGGCCAGAAAAGAAAAGAAAGTGATAAACAGAATCAATTTTTCACCATTTGGGAAATTCTTTGTGTCAGAAAAGAAGGGAAATGAGCTGATTTGGTTGGATTTGTTTTGAGGCTACGGTAGAGAAAAACATTCTGCCCATTTTGGGCTGATTTGGATGGAAAGTGGAAGAGTGACTATAATTTTTTTTTGAAATACCAATTGTGTCCTTAAATGGTTATTGAACAAATTTTTAATGACATATATATCTAAAATCTTTCCACTTCTTTCTTTAAACTCTCAAACAACATTAAAATCTCTTCTTCTCTTTTCTCATCTTTTCTTTTCTTTCATAACTTAGGGTTTCTTTTCTTGTCTTTTCTATCTTAAACTCCCAAACTTGCCTTAAATCACACGTCTATTTAAACTGCATGTTCCTGATGAAGTCTTTGACACAAACCTTAGGTGCTGAAGGCTACAAAGTCAATGCAAATTATTCGGCATGCTTATCTTTGTACTTTTTGTGCCTTTTTATGTATACTCTAATTGAGATAGAACACAAAATTTTCGTTGTGTCTTAAACTATTGCGGGCAATTAAGTGTGTTTTGGATAGGAATTATTTGTCAAAAATATATTTTCTGGCATTACAAACACATTTTGATCTTTCTAATCACTTTTTTTATATCATATATATCACATTACAATAAGTGTTATAGTAATTATTTCA